TGTTTGGATTGTACATTTTACTTTCCAACATCCACTTGGAGACCATACTCCCTGGCCATGTATTTGTAAGAGTCTGTTTTTGCTCTGAATATTTCACTGCAGTGGCTGGCTGTTAGCCTGGTAGATCTGTGCTGGGGTTTAGAGCAGCCTAGCATTTTACCATATTTTCTCACATACCACATGCTCCCACGTAAGACATATGCCTTGTTTTGGGGAGGCAGAATGAAGAAAAAAGATCTTTCCAGAGTTAGGGCCAGACGGAGCAGGGGCTGAGTTTAATCTTCAACTTGCTCACCCTCCCTTTCCTGCTCAGGCAAAAGCTAGTTTTAACCCTTTTGCAGCTGAATTGACTGCTTTTTTCCCAAGCAGAAAAAGGAGTGTAAGTGAGCTCCCCGCTAGGCTCTGTCCCTGCTCCACTTCAGCAGTGAAAAAGTTAAAGCTGTAACTGCTGCTGATGACTGGGCTCCACCTCTTCCTCCATGCAGCTGCTAGGCAGGAGAGAGAAAAGAAGCAGGAGCTTTTTCACAGCATCTCCATGCTTACATTCCAGGCAGAAAATCAGTGTCCCCACTAATATGCACCCTTGTTTTAGAGGGTTAATTTTGGGAGAATGGTGCATGTGGTATATGCATAAATATGGTATTGTTTTGCTTCTGAAGGAATCATAGTTTCATGTTTTAGGTATTGTCATCATTTGCTCTGAGTCAGAAAATTCACACTGTTGAGCTTGGGGAGCAATGATATATAGGTGATTATGGCTTTAATGTAGACTTTCTTTTTGACACTCTAGCATTTATTGGTGGAACCAGCAAAGGAACATATAGACTTTCCCTTTATGGCTGTGACCTTTACAGTATCTTTCTACCACCTCTGCTCATCATCAGGAGTGCCCAAGAATGCCCAGGCCTTTAAAGCCTCCCAAATTTAATGTGGCTGCTGCTTCATACAGGTTCAGGATTGGTCATTAACTGCCTTGCATATGCTAACTAGCACATGCTATGTACCATTCCAAGGGCAGCTGCATTTTGTCAGGCTGTAGTGAGACATTGCTTGGACACTCTGACAAGGAAAATGTAGCTCCTCTTGTGTGAAGGCCACTCTGCTGCAGAGCAGTCCATTTAGGGATATGCAACTTCAGAAACTCTGGCAAAGGGGGTTGTCGGTGTAACGGCAGTACAGGGTTTCTATACCTGTAGGTAGATCTCCCAGACAGAAATCCCTAGAACTGCCATTGCAGACTGATATAAAGAGTGTGTGAAAGGACATTAGGCTTTGGGTGACCGTGTGCATCCCAGAATACCTGCTATTGCCCCTCTACCTTTAAATGAGAATCTGTGTTAAGATACATGACTAAGAAGAAAAATATGACATTGCTAAGTAAACACAGAAGATGGGAGAGAGAGGATTTGAGGAGCCCTGGTGCTTGTGGTGGGGAAGGGCTTCTAAAAGATGAGTGTGCATCTTCTTTCCCCTTGAAGAAAAAGGAAGGAAAAGGTATATTATTGTCCAGATCTGTTCTCTTCAGCTTCCACTGGTAGGGGAGAGACCTCACCTGATTATTACCTAACAATTTAAATCAAATTTGCAATGAAGTGATTAGAGGTCAGGAGAGTGGGCCTTGTTCAGGGAGGCTGGGAGGCAGCCTACGGGTATGTAAGGGGTGTGCATTAGGAACTGGAAGAGCATCTGTTCAGCAGGGCATCTCAAGGGAAGACGAGGTCTAATGGGCACAAACTACTGGAAGACCATTTTAGACTGGACATAAGGAAAAACTTCTTTACTGTCCGAGTCTTCAGAATATGGAATAGACTCTCCCCAGAAGTGGTGCAAGCACCTGCTCTGGATACCTTTAACAAATGCTTGGATGGCTTATCTTGCTGGGGTGATCTGAGCCCAGCTGACTTCCTGTCCCTTGGGCAGGGGGCTGGACCTGATGATCTCACAAGGTCCCTTCTAGCCCTAACGTCTATGAAATCTATGAAAATTCTGAAGAAAGTGAGTTGAACAGTCCCATAGTTTGGCTTTGTTCTGCTGCAAATTGGTAAATCAGTACAGAGTAGCACTGGGCTAGGGAAAAGAGGTGGGGAATACAAGACATTCTAGATTATATTTTCACAGCAGTCCAAACCTAGTACAAACATGGTATGGGAACCCCTCATCCAAAATATGAGTGTATCTTTTGAATAAAACTGGGCTTCATGCCAGTCAGCTTGTCAGATCACTGAGCACCCTCCTTGCAACCTCCACTACTCAACATTTTCCCTGTTTTTCATTGTGTTTTCTTTTGCTGTCCTCCAGCTTAGCTTACAGTCCATGTGACACTGTACATAGCCAAACCAAGTTGGATTCATTTTGCAATTAGGATGTAAGGTGTAAAATCTACTGCTTTCTTCAAATGCAGATGCACAACATTACTGACACCATGACTCTTTTGCTCACCAGTATTACAATTGAAAGCTGAGTTGCTGTGGTAAAATAAATAAACCAGAATTTTCAACAAAATAGGAAAATGCTTACTAGTTTTAACAAGGAGAGAATTTCCATTCCCCTATTTTAGTTATTTATGCAAAGTGAAACCGCTTGAATAAGAGCAACTGAAGTTATGGACACATGAACAACTTGCTGTAGGGTATACAAGGCAGTACTTCACCATGAATCAGCTGCTCTGCAGCCACCACTCCTGTGCATGATCTTACTGTTCAGGAAGCAGAAGTTAAACTGCAGGCTAAGTTATCATGGCATATCTTCCACTTACCAAAGGGTAAAGGCATGCATGAGGGAAGTTACAGCCCAGCAACCAACAGGCGGTAAAGGTGACTACCCCTCTCTTTACCCCTCCCTACACACCTATTACTTTATGGTAAAATGTTTATATATCCACATTGAATGGGAGCCATGAAAAAATAGCAAACAGCCTGGCATCCATGGCACTCATCCAAGTTACAAGAAACCCACATACATATCCTTATTTTCAGGTCTCCCATATTCCAGCAGAATGACAGAGAAACAAGTGGCTATTTTGGAAGGAGCAGAAGTTTTTCTTCTCTGTTTAAAAAAAGCCCAACTCACTGAAAGTTCTTTGGTTCACCCCAGGGCAGAACTTATTTAACAAAAATTAATCTCAAGCTTTCCTAGGAGGGAAAAGAATGCATGTTAGCAGGCTCTAATGATAAATAGCATGTATTAGCCTGAAACTAAGTGGAAACTTCTGTCATCCTGGAAAGTTCCATTTCTGTTTTATAGTTCAGCAAGAGTGGGTTGAAATAGATGTCCAGCTGCTCAGTCAGCAGTCATACATCCTTCTGTATCAGTCTTGTATTATGAAGTCATTGCAATGGGAAACACAATGCATTTATTCGATATATTCATCCACAATTAGAAGCAGCCTAGAGACTGAGCTGTGGAAACTATCCCCATAGTTTCTCAGTTTCCAACAATACTGTAGCTTGACAGCCAGGTGCCAGTATGCATGAAAATAAATTGACTTTACAAGCACTATTGTGGGGGGAAAGCACGCAGCCAAATGTAGAGCAGTGGCACAGGGTGGTGGATGGCAGTGGCAGCTGCATGCAAGCTCCCCTCCCCCCCACATCTGACCAGCCGGGCAGCGCCTGTGCAGCCTGCAGATGGGCGCCACTGCCCTCATCCTACCCCTGGGAGGTGATGGTGCTCCTTCCCCACCTACCTGCACGTACCTCGTAGGGCCTTCTTGTGTACCCCCAGTTGACAACCCCGGCATATACAATGACTATTAAAATATACAGGGCCCAAAACCTAAACAATCAGGGTAGTAACATGCAGTGTACCTACTGTTATTAACAGAGCTACACACTCTTCTTTGTAGAATCTATTCTCTGTCCCCCTGCAAGGCTACCAATGGCTAAAGAGAAGATTCCTCCCTTCTTAACTTCCCATGCCTGCCTCCTTACTCCTCCCTCTCTTATCCAAAGCTTCCATTTCTCCCTTCATTCCCTAGGGGCCACAGTATGTATTAATGGGATCATAAGTCTAACAGAAATTCAGTCACAGAAACTGGAGTCATATCTAGAAGTGTGGATGATAAGCTAAGAAGTGCAGCTGGAAATGGGACCATGAGCAGAAAAGTTTGGCCCACTGGATATTAACCACCTGTTGCCATGCCTATCAGGCTCCATTTGTCACTTGAAAGTATTAGGGAAAGTTGAAATGAGCTCAATGCAGTACTGAATTTGAACACACTGTGCATTTAGACATGCTTCAGGAGGTGGGCGGGTGGCACTTTAATTAGCATAGCTCAGTTAATTCAGCCACCAGCTTCAGAAACAATTCCCCCCACATTCATAGAAACCATTTACATGCAAGTAAAACATCACTAAGTGGATCAGCAGTGACTTATGCATGACAGTCTGTTATCTGGGCTATGTTGACAGGCACAGAGTGGCTTACTAGATGTCATTCACAGTTGAAAAAATGCAGACCAGAAGCTTAATACAGCCACATAATTTATCAGCTAGCACTAGTTTAGTTTTTGCCTGGCCATGCTTGTACCTCAGAGGGTCACGAAGAGCAAGGGACAAATGTATATACCAACTAGTATAATGGAAAGAAAAAGGCTTCACAGCAGCTGGGATCAGAAATGACATAACCCAGAAATGAGAAGTGGTGTAGCTATGATGGTCTCCAATAAAAGATATCACCCCAAACAAACAAACAACTCATCCCTTGTCCATGGAAATGCATCATTTAGTGGCCGGGGCACCAACCAAGTCTAACCTACTACCTTACCCTGGTCAAGTCTCATCACTTCTTTCCCTTATACCCCTGTCCATTTAGGCAATGAATACTTCAAAGTAGGGACCTGTTTCACTATATGAGTTTGCACAAGAACTAGCAGCATCACTGCAATTCAGACATGTCTTGGGAACTCTTTTTCTGGGCATCTTTCAGGAAAGGGAAGGCAGGAGAATATTTCCCATGAGCTGCAGAAAAAGCCATTAAAAAAATGGTCATAAGGCACATAGTTTATATATAATTGATCATTTTATTGGAGTCTACTAAAAGATGTTTGTTCTTAGATAACTGCCATGTTTGGTAGGCAGTTATGCTGCTTAAGTTCACTGCACATGTTGAATCAAATCCAAATACATAAATATCACTTCATTTGATCCTGTACATATGTGCATCTTTCATACAAAAAGCTTTTCCCATAAGCTGTACATACAGGACCACTTCTATAACTTATACCAAACCCATATTCAAGACCCATGGATTAAACATTTTGGTAAGTACTACACAGTAGAAAAATGTAAGAAAGTCTAAATATTGTAACAGCTTAGATTCATTTTGTACTTGAGTGAAACACAGTGTAAGAGGACACATGAGCTTACTAATCTAGCCAAAGACATTTTGTCATTAATACTTAACATACAAAGGCAAATATCAGTTACCAAAAGTTGTTCATTAACAGCATTACCAGGTTTCCTCTACCCCATGAAAAGTCTGTCATTCCTATTCTCAAAGTGTGAACCTTCAAACCACCTCCATCTCTGGGGAAGGAGGAGGACAGGAAACTCTGCTGTAAATGACAGTTTCTTGAATACAGTCAGGTGGGAAGACCAACATTTTATTAAGGCTGCAGGCAATTAAGTCTGCACAGCACTTGTGCTTATAGAAAACATTGATGTTTCGTAATCTACAAGTGCTTGGCTTAAATTATAAGAATACTGTTTAAAAACAGTAATCTTAATAAACATCAATATTGCCAATTAGGAAAACAAATGATTTACCCAACCAAGAAAGAAAACTCAGGTTCTTAAAGCATATTGTCAACTTAAGTAAATCATATCTGGCTACGTGAAGTCCAAAAGAGTTTATTACAAAAATAAAATCAATCAGAAAAATGTCTGAATGTAATGCAGCTTGGAAGAGATTAAACATGCTGGCCTACATCTGCTCCCGGGCCCCTATAAACCAGAGCAAAATTAATAAGACTACTTATATACAATCTCCTGAAAAGCACAAGCTGTTACTGTTGTGGCTCCAGTCGCCATGTTTTCAATAAGGGAAAATGAATTCTAAACATTTAAAGACGTGTAAAAGGGCAGATACTAGTGAGTTCAGAAAACCCTCACTCCCTATGGTTGCTTAAATATAAAAATAGACCAAAGACCAATACAGCAGCCTTTATATCTATTTTATGCACCCAGCAATTGCAACTGTAAAGTCTATTCCAAAATACTATGTCTATCAAGTTTGAAAATTCAATGATTACACCAGAGAGACCCATTTTTGAGAGAGTCTTTCTTCTAATTATGACATTTTGAAGAGAAACCATGCACACAAAGGACTATCAAAGGATGTCACTTGGTTGATAACATAACACCAAGAAAGCAGCTTTTTAAGATACAGCATGCAGGTCCATTTCTTTCTCTATTAAGCTTATTTACAAGCCATACTTTAATATTTTGGTAATCTTTATAAAGTTTTAGACCTAGCTAGAAATACAAGTTTCCTCAGTAGCTATTATTTAAAACATCCAGTAAGCACAACCCAACTGAAATGACAACAGCAAAAATAAATGTGAGTGCTTATTTATAAAGACACCAAACAGTTAACAGTGATTTCCTAGTCTCTTCATATGATTATGTTAGAATTTGCCATATGATATGGGGAAATTTTTGGTACCAGAAAGTGGTGCTGCCTGCCAATGATGTGACCTTTTGAGGTGGCATGACAGCTCTGACTGAAGGTGATTCCATGTTTTGCAAAAGGCAAAGTCATGGTTTCAAACCATGCAAGCTGAAGTCTTCCACAATGGGATTTCATATGCATCTACCTTTCAATGAAAGGTAAAATGACATTATTGCCCTTTAGATCCTGCAAAAAACACACCCAATAAGCCAGAAAGTGTCAGTACACAAGAGATTTTAAGCATGGATTTGGATAAAATAAGTGCATAAGAATTCCAGATATTATGGCTTAAAGATCTGCATAAAAATAATGTTCTACACAGATATGCATTTAAATGAACGACACTAAGTGCAAATGGGAAAAATTAGTTTGAGATAGCTACTTAGCTCTTTTCCCTTAGACAGAGTCAAAAGAAGTCACATACATGCAGAATCACTATTTACTTTACAGGAAAAAAACATCAGCCCTATTGGAATTCAGATATTCAAAAAATGTCTTGCCAATTTCTTAAAAGACAGCTATGTAGATACGTACATTTTTTAAAAACAGGTTTTTTGTTTAGTGAGTAGCCAAAGCAAGTTTGCTTATCAGATTACTACCCACTCCTTCCCTTTCTCACCCATCCCAGCCAAATTCAAATCATTGCTCTAGCAGCATCAAAACAGTAGTGCAAAGCTGTTGCAAGACCCTCATTTAAAACTGTGCCATTCTTTTGGAAGGCTCTGTTAATTCATTGTTTGTGGTGGGGTCGGGGGTGAAGGAAAGGCGAAGAGAGAGAGACTGATGTGTTAGTTCTTATGAGCAGATACTCGTTTGCTCATTAAGTGTATTTTAATCTGCTGCTCATCATACTGGCCATATATTAAAACTTTGGTAAACTGTTCATTTTTAAAAAGTTCACAATTCCTCATTTTGACATGCACCTACAACATGCGAGTTGAACTGCACAACAATAATTGTTATGTCATCTCTGTACATCCGAGCCAACTCTTCTGGAAGACTAAGCATCTTGGACAGCCGCTCATGATCAACAGTGCCAAATTCATTATTACCCACTGCATGACGTATCAAATGGGTTGCAGCATTCTGATCTTCAAATACGGATGAGATTCTTGCTCTCCTTTCTGTCAGGAGACCGTGCATCTGTCCCAGAGTTACCTTGTAGCCACCAACTGCTATTGGCTGCTGGTGATGAACACCGGTGAGGTACTCTCCTACAATTCTAACCACATCCTGTCGGTGCATTGTCTCCCATAGGCCATCTGTGGCTAACACCAGGAATTTATCCTGAGGTCTTAATTTGTGGTGTATGACCTCTGGCTCAGCTGTAAGATATGGTGGGGTATGATAGTTCGGAGGGATAAACTTTGTGTATTCATTGTCATTCAATTGATCTGGGCCTGATTCTATTACTCTCTTCTGAAGGTCAATGCTCCATTTAAATTTCACATCACCAAAGGCTCTGAAAGGCATCAATAAGCCTAACAGCCTGTCTTGCTTCACAAGACTTTTCTCTTCAGTTTTTGGGTGCTCTGATTTTACTCGTTCTATTTCACGTTCATTCTGCGCATTATGATCATAGGACAAATTAACAGCAGACCAAGACCCATCTTCTTCTTGAACACCAAGCATCGCCCTGCTGTCACCAGTATTGGCAATGTGCAAATCAACACCATCTACATGAGCCACACAGGCAGTAGCACCTGAAAATGCCACTCGCAGCACCAGGTAGTTGAGAAAAGAGTTTGGATCTCCTACTTGAGCTTCCAAAGAAATATCATTATCAAGCCTCTTGAAAGCATTAATTAAAGCCTCTTTTACATCAGTGGTCTCTCCAGTGTTGAGGTCGATGAGCTCCTGCCAGTAAGTTCGTAAACTATTAAAATAAAGTTTAGAAGCTTCCTTACTAAAATAATCATTGGGATGCTTGTGCCACTGTAAAATGGGCAACAGAGCTCTGCCACTCTCCACTGCATTTTCTATTTCAAGTAGAGTCTCATGAGGTAACAAAGAGACAGCAATGTAGTAAAAGAGTCTTTCACTGACAGCTTGGGCACAAGCACAACCTGCATGACCATCGAATACACCTAGAAGCATCCCTCGTGTTTGCAAACATGTGGCTGCACTTCTCCTGTCTTCTATTGGAGCATTAGCAGGTAACTGGTTGCTATCAAAGCCAAGAATAGAGCTTACATTTTTACCATCAAATTCTGGGACTTTAAAACTGTATTCATTTGCCTTCAAAATGCTGTTAACCTGTGGAGGAGTAAGGTAAAATCTCTGTGGTGTTGAAACATAGCTCCTTGCATGGATAAACTGATTAAAATTCTCCTTTGGCCTATGAAGTGTTGCAAACTTCTTCTGAGGTGCATATCTCAAATGATTGTGAGCAAAGTGAGGTGGGGACAAACAACAAAGATGTTTGTGGTGGCAATAACACACAGCATTGCATAGCCTGCCAATTTCACAGTTACGAATCAATGGAAATAGATGAGCTGGTGCTGGCATGGCATCAGAGAATAATGGCAGCCTGGAGCTTCTGACTGGAATTGCTGCAAGACAAGAGAAATAGCTAGGCTTAGTGGAACAGCTGAATACTGCATATTTTGCCCCCCACGCCTTTGCTTGAGACAAAGTTAGTGTTTAGCACAAACATGCGTGGAAGTTATATACCCTGAATCTTTTGGATGAAAAGGAAATACATTACAAAAAATGCTTACAGAAGTTATCCTGTAGTAAGATAATGAAGTCACACTGTTATTTCAATATTCTGATTTTTGTATTTTCATGCTTTATACCCAATTCAGATACAAGCAGAAAAATTAGAGCAACATCCTTGGGCTGTTGATTCAACTTCTAAATTAAGCTGAATGCATGAGCAAGCTAATAGATTATATCCTATAAAGCTGTCACAGTGATCCATTCCCCCCCCCTTGGACTTCCTAGAACAGGAGCCAGATAATGTTGCAGAGGGCAAAAATCAGGCCTCAGTTCAGAGGAAAAGAAGGAAAGAGAAAGAATTCATCACTGCTGACAGGCAAAAGTAACAATTTAGAAAATCTTCAAACTTAAGTTTCACATAGCTTTTGTCTGAATGAGGGTAAAATTGCAAAACAGATGAGAGAAATAGTAAGGCACCAAAGGTCAATAGTGGAGTTTAAGTCAAGAAACTTAATCCCTCAACTTCTGTAAACACTGAATTAAACACCAGCTATAAATGATGAGTGCAGTACATATGACAGCATTTTGTGTGTATACTTGTATTATGCAAGGGCACCAAAAGCCTTATGTAGGCATTTTTCCCCTCACTGAAGAAATCTTGCTAGAAAAGGTGAGCTGAAGTACCATCAAGTAGGGTCATCTTCACCTTTATATTATTTTTCACATCAGGTCCTTCTAACCGATCTCCAGGATAACTTCCGCCACAGAGAGGGGATTATGTGCAAATGGACGTTTACTGCCACAGTCCCATAACTACAATAAAGCCATCTAAAGGAATTTACACTAAGTTCTGGTTTGCTAACAATCTTAATAATGCTCCATTAAATGGGAAACTCAACATTTAAATGGTGAGGCAAAGGTAATTGAACCAGAAAAGGTTTGAAACTATAGGTTAGGCAACATACTACTGACCTTCTGCTTTTCAAATGCATTAAACGTAAAAATAATTTAAACACAAAACTGAGTTTGGATATGCTAGATACTCCACTGGACAGAATGATGATACCCTAAGTCTAGAAGTCTGGGTAATTTGTGTGTTGCTCTTACTTTGGTATAAACATCACCCACTCTGAACCTCAGTTAAGTCTTTAGGCCAATAAATGACTGCTACATCTTCTAGCCTTCCCTACTGCACATTCACAGGCTACTCAATTTCACCCAGTTACCCCTGCACTGAACCACATAATTTTGTCTGGCTAAGCTGAATTTTCCAGAAGGGCATCCAGTCATGGCTTGAAGAAATCAAGAGACAATCCATCACTGCCCTCAGCAGTCTGTTACAAGTATTAAACACTGTCAAAAATCTGTGCATATATTCAATTTGATTTAGTCTCCTTTCAGCTTCCAGCCATTGGTTTCTACACCAGATTAAGCAGCCCTTTGATATCCTCTTCCCTAATGACAATATTAATAACTAATCAAATAAATCATCTCTCATAAAAAATGATCAGGTTCCATCTGTTTAGCTCTTGCTTACTGTAAGGCATATTCTGCAACCTACAAACAATTTATACCGCTTTCCTGCAGCCTCTCCAGTTACTATTTCCATGCACAGGAATTAGGACACTACATGTAGTTTTGCTATACCAGTCTCACCAATGTGCAGAGGTGCACCAATACACCAGTCCAATATTGGATCGGTACTGATATGAAGAAAACTGTCTATATCAGATATCAGCCCTATGGAGCTGATAATTTGGCCAATAAATGGCCATGCTGCGCACAGCTGCTGCGCAGCAAGGAGCAGAGTTGGCAGCATGGAGAACTGCCTCCAGCTGGTGAGTCGGAAGGGTAGGGTAGGGGCGAGGGGGAGCAGACCAATGCCCCCTGTAGTGAGGGAGGGGGCAGGAGCTGCCCAGTCAGGGCAGGGGAAGCAGGGCATGCAACAGAGTCACGGCTCATGGGGTGGGGATGGTTCCCACTGCTGCCTGCACCCCAGGAGGCAGGGGGCATGTGCCCCTGGATCTGCATGGCGCAGGGCAGGCAACAGCTGCAGGGTGGAGCCGGAGCCAGCACTGCATGGCTCTTCACTGCATGGGATGGAAGAGGCAGGAGCTGCACACCCCTGAGCAGTGCCTCCGTTCTGCCCCCCTGCCCCAACTGGGCAGCGCCTACCCCTGCACCCTCCCTCACTGTGGGGGAGTTGATCTGCCCCCCAAAACCTCTTCCCTCCCCCCCTACCCTTCTACCATCCTGGATTTACCATCGGGAGGCAGCTGTATCGGATCGATATCAGCCAATATGCCTCCTTTGAATACTGGCTATCGGTATCAGCCCCAAAATATGAGTGCACCCCTATCAACGTGGCATACAGATGTGGAGTCACCTCCTTCATCCCAGTTTACGTTAGAATCACATTAGCTGTTGTTGCTAAATCATCATATTAGGAACCTGCATTGCATTCTTTGTCCCAAGTGTCCAATTCACAAGGCAGGGAGAAGGCAAAACTCCCACATTCTTCTGGAAAAAACTGCTTAATCTTAAAGGGATTTCTTTTTAAAATTATTTCAGACTGCATGCAAAAAAACAGGGCAGTTACTCCTTTAAACTTCAGAATGAGATTGAATGGAAAGTGCTTTCTTAAAAGAAAAGAAAAAAGAAAAAGATGAAAGACAAGAGACACTACAAACTATACTTTACACAGATCCTGATTAAGTTACTTAAGTAACCTCTCCTGAGTACTGAACTAACTGGCAAGGCTGAAGAAGCACACATTTTACTACTACATACCTCAAAGGTTTTTATTGGAGCATTAAAAAAACAATTATGCAATTAAGTTCCACTACAGCTCAGCAAGCTCACTGTTTGACTGCCAAAGGTAGTCAACTAGAGAAAAGGATTTGGCACCTACAAGCAGTGACATAAGCTGAGCTGGCACTCAGGCCAAACCCTGCAGGAAACAGGGAGGGAAAGTGAGTTTTGAGAGTGGGCCGTGCAATGGGACATGGGCTCTGAGGAGAGGCGAGAGCACTTCTGCATACTGCAATAGGCCTTCCCAATTCTATTCTTTCTTTAGCTCCTGATTTAGGCCTTAAGCCTCTAAATACATGCAGCATCTGCCTAGACTGAAGTTGACTTAATTCATAAACACTTTCCTTTCACCTCACAAGGTCCCCAACGTCTGGAAGCCCGACAAAAAAGCTGTTTTTCATTGCTTCACCACTGCTAGGGAAAGTAATGAAACAACTGCTTGTATACTTAGTTCTGCATTGACTTTCACTCAGCAGACATCTGAAAAGTCTTGTTTCAAGATGAAATGTGTATTGTAAATTTGGCTGCATTTCTCCAGGAATGATTTCTATCCAACCTGTTCAACTAGGTCTGATACACATTCATAGTTTTGTAGGACAAAAGTGTAAGAAAGGTTCTGCAGGCATACTTGTTACTAGAAAGGCAGCATCTTTGAAACTTAGTGCATCAAATTTTCATATCAGTCCACATAAAAGTCTGTTTATGTTCTACGTCATATCACTCTGCAACAACAGCAGAGTTCAAATAACAGAATTGCTTAGAGCTTTGCTGCTGATCCCTATGAGGTAAAAATACAAATTGGAAAGTTGCTGTTCTATTGGCTCTACGTTGCCAGCAAAGATTAAACTGATGAACATCTTGGGTTTATCACTAGGACAATTTGTAGGGCATTCAAAGGCAGATATCACATTATAAAAAACCAATGGTGAGCATCAGCTCATGTTCTCCACTTTCATTTTCATAATGCCAAAAGAACCAGACAAGTAGGGCAGGAAGGGACCTCCAGAGACCAACCACTTGCCTGAGGCAGGATCATCCCTATTCAAACCATGCCATACAATTCATAATATAATCTACCATCAACCGGACACAACACAGACCTAACAACACCCTAGCCTGCCACAGGAAAAGCTGGGGAATCACAGCAGCCAACGTCCCTGCCTCTGAAATGTTGTCAATACATGCTCAAGAGATCATGGGCAGTGGACTGCACCCCTTGCTACAAAGGAAGGCAAAAACACCCACAACCTGACTATGGGGCAGAAATCCTTCCTCACATGAAATAGGCTGATCAGCCTGACCATGAGCAGAGGGGCAAGCCCCTCTAGCAAGGAACCTCCAGCTTGGATCCCAACATTGGCACACCCCAATCAAAATCCTCAACACCCAACGCCTCTGAGACGACTTAAAAACACCCTGAACACATGTAGCAGAAAAGGTGGGGGGAGGGGCAACTACTGTACCTAAGGGTACTGCCACACTCTATGTTTGTACCAACCGTACACTCAGCCCAATAAAAGCCTGATACTTTGGTTAGCACACATGGCACAAATCTGCCTTCCAACGAAACCCACCTTCCTGCAGCGTGCCCTGCACCCTGGCCCATTTCCTTTGCCTACATCCTTCACTTACTGCACCACCCCTCCACCTGCCTCTTGCACGCCAGGACCAGGACACCCAACCTGACAGAGCCCAACCTTGGCAACTGCTTCACCACACCCGTGTGAGGCAAATTACTCTGCACCTGCCACTTCCACCCAGAACCAGAAGGGCCTTTACTCTGCCAGAGTCCTCCAGTACCTGGCCAGGAGCGGGGAAGCCAGGTGGGGAGATAGAGGCCAGCCCGGTATCCAGGCGCGGGGGCCGCAGGACTCTGCCAAAGCTGCGCCGGAGGGGGAGGGGCTTAAAGCGCTTTATTTCGAAGTGCACCCAGCGGGGCGGGGCGCGGGTCCCGGCTCCCCCCTCCCCCCCGCGCAGCCAATACGTACCGATGCGGCGCGGCCCGGGGCACACGCACATTCTCCTGGCGCAGCAAGAAGCCGCCGGCAGCCACGGAGCAGCGCCCGGTGAGCAAGACAGAGAGCGCGTTAGCGGGCCGGGGAGGAGCGGAGGACAGACACGCGGCCCGCGGCCGCCCCGCCCAGCCCCAGGGACCGCCCCCGCCTCGCTCCGCACCTGGC